AGACATCACAATAAAAAAGGAATTTAGCTCAATATAAGGAATCATGCAACAACTAGAGCTGCTAACAGTGGAACTGCTACCACGTGAAACAAATGAATTCTACATTCAATTAAACCATCTCAAATACATGCAGCACTCTATAGTGACCACAAAGGGTATGAAAGGCACAAAAGGTACATCACAAAAAACCATAACGCAATCTGAGACAGGCCTCAAAGATGATTTGGCGCTCATTAGCCAGAAGACTGGTGGCAATGGGTGGAGGAGAAGATGGAGAAACATGAGCAAAGGCAGAAGCATGTTGTCTACTGGGAATGTCATGAGCACACAGAGTAGATGCGAGGAGTAATGGAGATGAGCTGAACTGTGAAAAGTCTCCCATGTCATGTTAAGTTAGAACTGCCTTTACAGGTGATGGGGATGGGGGTGACACTAAAGGCTTTAATGGCAGGAATGTCAGACTCTGGTCTGGAATTTCAGAAAGATGATGATAGTTATTGTAAGAAAACTAAATTTGGAACACCAAGTAAGATTCTATAGGCAGAGCTAAGACAATAGATGAAGAGGACACAATTAAGCATCCCCAGCAAAGGAAGAGATGAAGGGAATAATATTTAGACGTTAAAAATAAAAAACCAAAAGGATTTAAGGAATGAGAAGTCAAAGGTGATCTCCATAGATCCTTAATGTTGTTCTGCTATTCTATCATTTTCAAACTGTGTTCTGTGAGGGTATTCCATGGTTTCAGTTTAGTAGATTTTAGGGAGATAGGCTGAATGAAAACCATCCTCCACTTTGTTTAAAGGGTTCTATTAAAAAAGAAAAAGAAGGTTGGGAGCATAGTTCAAAGGTAGAGTTAAGCTTGCCTAATATGCCTGAGGCCCTGGGTTTAATGCCCAGCACCATGAAAAATAAACAAACGTTAAAGACTCTCAGGCTAATTTTCTGATCATTAACAAACCACAGTGCAATAAACAGTAATTCGAGATCCTATTAGAAAGGACAAAATGAACTATGTCTTTATTTATTTATTTTAGTGCTAGAGATTAATCCCAGTGCCTCATCATGTCAAGCATTCACTCTGCCACTGTATTACATTCCCAGTCCCTGAACTGTCTTCAAAGGTTGTTCTGCGAAAGGCAGAGCAATGTTCTTCACATGGTTGCTTTCCATGGTAGGAAAACATGATGACAACAAAATGTGGTGACTTTAAGATATAGCAGATTAAGGAAGAAAATGTTTAGACTTGGAAACTACCAAAGCATACAAGGAAATAGGAAAATTATTGCCTTGGTGCTACAAATACAGAAAACAGATGAAAAGAGTTTCCACCCACTTCTAGCTATCTTTGCCCTTAAGGATAGTAAATAAAATATACAGTTTCGAGAGAGAGGTGCTAAATGGAAAAATGTAAAGAGGAATGGGGTATGGGGAACGAAAGGAATTTTATACGGCTAAGGGAAGTCTCACTGAGACAGTGAGCTGTGAGGCTATCTGAAAGAACATCCCAGGTAGAAAAAACAGCAAGTATTCCTGATCAGGGGCCTATGGGATATGCAATGGAGGCCAATATAATTGTAGTGAAGTGAACCAGAGTTCAGATGTACAGTAAATTTGGAACATAACAAAATATTAAATAAAAAGAATATCAGAGATAAGGTTGTAGTTCAGTGGTAGAGCTCTTGCCTAGCATGTGGGAGGCACTGGGTTTGATTCTCAGCACCATATACAAATAAATAAAAGGTCCATTGACAGCTAAAAAAAATATTTAAAAAAAAAAGAATATCAGAGGTCAGATCATGTAGACCTAATAGGTCATAATAAGGACTTTGGCTTCTATTATGCATTAAACAAAAAACCTCTGAAGAATTCTGGGCAAAAATAAGAAAACATATGTTTCTCATTTTTACAGGACCACTGTGAGTTTTTTTAAAATTTAATATTTTTAAAAGAATTAGGGCTGGGCACAATAGTGCATGCCTGTAATCCCAGCAACTCAGGAGGTTGAAGCCCTAAGCAACTTAGCAAGACCCTGTCTCCAAATCATGGGAGAGTGGGGGGAGAATTTAGGCTCATTGGAGAAATTAGAGGAACCTACTGCTCTAACTATTTAAAAGCATGACTCCAAGAAAGGATTTTCCTCAAAAGCTAAAAGAACTTTAGGGAGGAAATAACTTGGTAATATGGCTAAATGAATATTCAAGCTCAAGAGTTCTGCCTTTCTATTTGTAGTAATGGAATGACATTTTGTCCACAGTAATACAATATATTTGGTTTTATAGGTGGGCTGGATCCAAGAGTCACAAATACTGCACATATAATAAACACTTATTCTATAAATTTTGTCCTATATTTTCCTTCCCACGCTTTTCCTTTCTTCGAAACCTAAAACCTCCTTCTATTAAGTGTCCTGTCAATTTTTCTGCAAATTTATTGATCCTAGTTGAATATGCTATATAAGTAAGATTTCTAAGCTATTGCTTTAAGAGCTACTTTTCACTGAGGTTTCTCCCACGTGTGTACTGTCTGTTCTAATAAACATGTTTTTCTCTTATTTATCTGTTTTCTGTTATACATATATACGTATTCCAGCTAAGAAATATGAGGAGTTGAGGAAATAACTATTTTTCCTTCCTGGCATCTACATTAAAAGAATACTTGTGCTGAGCATGGGTGGCACACGCCTGTAATCCCAGCAGCTTGGGAGTCTGATGCAAGAGGATCACGAGTTCAAAGACAGCCTCAGCAACTTGGTGAGTCCCTCAGCAACTGAGTGAGACCCTGTCTCAAAATAAAAAATTAAAAAAGGGCTAGGGATGTGGCTCAGTGGTTAAGTGTTCCTGGGTTCAATCCCCAGTAAAATAAAATAAAAATAAAAATTTTTAAATTATTTGCTATTGTTTATAATAGCAAAAAATATATTCGTAACCCAGGACTCCAACAAAAGGGAATCACTTAAATACTAGTGCATCCTCACAACAAATTATCAACTTTTTTTTTTTTTTGCAGTGCCTGATCTCTACCACTGAGCTATACCCCCCAGACCAATAAATATTTTTAAGGTCAGATACAGATATATTTATAATATCGTAGTGAAAAACCATGAAGTAATCTCATTTCAGTAAATGTATATGAAATCCAACTGTAAGGCACTTCACCATCCTGTGAATGTCACAGTTCCTTACAGTCTTAGACTATAATGCTGTTTTAATAGTTCCCCTCAAGATATTCTTATTTCTGAGTCTCCTCAAAAAGGGATGTGTCAGTAGCAATTAGAGAAATGCAAATTAAAAGTACACTGAAATTTCATCTCACTCCAGCCAGAATGGCAATATAAGTATAAGAATATAAGTAACAATAAATTTTGGCAAAGATGTGGGGGGGGAAGGTACACTCATATGTTGCTGGTGAGACTGTAAATTGGCACAATCACTCTGGAAAGCAGTATGGAGATTCCTTAGAAAACTTGGAATGGAACCACCATTTGACCCAGTCACCCCACTCCTCAGCTTATACCCAAAGGACTTAAAAGCAGCATACTGTAGTGACGCAGCCACATCAATGTTCATAGCAGCTCAATTCACAATAGACACACTAGGGTACCAACCTGGTGCCCTACAACAGATGAATGGATAAAGAAAATGTGTGTGTATATACACAATGGAATATTACTTAGCCATAAGAATGAAACTATGGCATTTGTCAGTAAGTGGATGGAAATGGAGAATAGCATGCTAAGTGAAAGAAGACAATCCCAGAAAACTAAAGACCAAATGTTTTCTCTGATATGCAGATCCTGACTCACAATGGTGGGGGAGAGTGAAAGTTCACTGGATTGGACAGAGGAGAATGGGAGAAAGGGAAGAGGGATGGGAATGGGAAAGACAGTAGAATGAATTGGACATAATTTTCCTATGTTACATATATGAATACACTACTAGTGTAATTCCACATCCTGTATAACCACAAGAATGGGAAGTTATACGCCATGTATGTATGATATGTCAAAATACATTCTATTGTCATGTATAACTAAAAAGAATAATTTTTTTTAAAAAAGGAAGTGTCACATAATGGTCACCAAGTCTGTCAATTACCATATGAGATCCATCTTCCTGCTTTGATTCTCACTTTACAATCACTTTTGTCCATAAAGCCATGTGGAAAAACCTCCCTACTGCCCATCTCTCTTGGGAATAATAACATAGAGCCAAAAGAATCAACTCCCCCAAAGCTTCCAAACCTGGGAAAGAATGGCCTCCTCCCTTCCCTCAAATTTCCCATGCCTGCCAATTGACACAAATAGATGCTAGGAAAAGAGTAGAGGATGTAAACTAGCAGTCTAGGTGTTCCAGTAAGTAGCTGAGGCCAGACATGAATTTGTGATCCTCCTGTCGTAGCCCCCAAGATGCTGGGATAACAAGTATGTCCCACTGTGCCCGGCTAACTTAGTATTCTGAAAGTCTCTCCTTTTTTTCTTATTTGTGATTTTATAACTTTATCCAATGACAGGGTTATGTTTGTTTTTTGTTTTTTCAGTCCTAGGGATAGAATCCAGGGCCTCATGGCCATTGAGTCACAACCCCAGCCTGTTTTTGTTTTTGTTTTTTTTGTGGGTGGGGGTACCAGGGATTGAATTCAGGGGCAGTCAGCCACTGAGCCACATCCCCAGCCCTATTTTGTATTCTATTTAGAGTCTGTCTAACTGGTTGCTTAGTGCCTTGCTTTTTGCTGAGGCTGGCTTTGAACTCGAGATCCTCCTGTCTAAGCCTCCCAAGCTGCTGGGATTACAGACATATTCTACCACTCCCGGTTGGGTTTGTTTTTGAGGAAGATAAAAATCAATGTGTAAGTTAAAAAATGAAATATTTAAGTAGCAAATATATTACTGAAAACCATTTCCTTAAAGAGCAAATTGCTGAAACAACTTTTGACAATATTCATTCAACCTCTAATTCTGCTCCCAAGGCCAACCCTCCTCCTGCCCCTTTGGTACGTACATTCCTGAAGACATTCTGTGTCCGTGCAGTAAGACTGGGACTGCCGCAACTGAAGCGAATAAGAAGAAAGAAAAATTAACTATTAGACTTGGCCAAAATTGGACAATAATTATTGGAAAGATGTTTTGAGCTGAGGGTGTAGGTGAGTGATGGAGACATGTGCTTAGCATGCACAAAGCACTCAGTTTGATCCCTAATACCACAGAAAATACATATATATGTATATCCATATATCTCTGTGTGTGTGTGTGTGTGTGTATAGATATATCTCCACAAACACACATATTTTTTTTTCCAGTGCTGGAGATTGAACCCAGGGCCTTGGGCAGGTTAGATGTGTACAGTACCATTGAGTTATATCTACAGGCCTTTTTAAAATCTTTGAGACAGGGTCCCACTAAGGTAGCCCAGGATGATCTCCAATTTGCGAATCTCCTGTTTCAGCTTCTCAAGTAATTGGGATTACGGGAATGTGCCACTGTGCCTGATTTACTATATTTCACTGCATGAAAGTATCATTACTGTATTAATGTACATTCCAAATCTTGCACCAAAGACACGTTAATAATAAATGACTTTTAAGTGATACTGGCACAAAAGCTTCACATAATGGTCACACCTCATTTTTTTGCAAAAAAAAATTTGGCATAAAATATGTAAAGACTATCTGGTAAAATATAGTATACATACTAGAAATCTTAAAAATATGCACTTTTTCACATACTTTGAATTACTGTAACAAATATTTATTGAGATTTCAATGTGCTAGGTACAAGAAGTTTGACTTATTATTTTGTTTAATCTTTAAAACCACTGGCAGGAGGCAGATACTATTATTCCGACTTACCAAATGAAGAAACTGAGTTTTGGAAGGTGTAGGGGTACAGCTAAATGAAAGAGACAAGGTCTCACTAAGTTGCCCAGGATGGCCTTAAATTTGACATCCTCCTGCCTCCACCTCCCAAGATGCTGGAATCATAAGCATATAGTACTGTGCCCAGCTCCCCAGCCCTTTATAATTTTTTATTTTGAGATAGGATTTTATTAAATTGCCAAGACTGGCCTCAAACTTGTGATCCTTAAGTTAACAATTTTTGTTAACATATCATTATCATTATGAAGCATTTGCTCAACCACAGTTAGAGGTTACAAAATATTTTCAATGAGTTTCTGTAAAAAGTAGAATGGAACTGAAGCAAAATCAGGGTAATGTGAAAATGACTGAAGGTACATAATTACTCAGTAATCACTAAGACCAACACAGCCATATTTTCCTAGATACTAGGAGACCTCTTTTAGTGTCACCAGAAAGGATTATACTTTAAAAACAAAAAATAGAAACATACAACTTGTCCTGCTATACAAGTTTTATAAACCCATTTAACTCATATACAAATTCAAAAATTTTATCAGTTTAATATGGAAATTGTATCAATTTATAGGTAAGGGGAGTCAGAAGAATGGCAGTCAAATTATCACTTTCAGCAAGAAAAGCTTTTCTTCACTGCTACGCAAAAAGGAGCCATTTTAGCTTTAAGAAAAAGAAAAATGATTAGCAGTTGCCTAGCATGTGCGACTCCCTGGGTTCAGTCCCAAGTACTTCAAAAACAAAGATAAGAAAAATGAGTAAATACATACACTCGTAAACACACAAAACCAAGAATAACAGAAATTATTCATCATGGGGCTGGGGATGTAGCTCAGTGGCAGAATGCTAGCATATGCTAAGTCCTGATTCAATACCTAGTATTGCAAAGACAAAAATATATAGAAATTATTCATCATTCATCAGGAGCCTGGCTTAGACTAATCTGCAGTGAGGCTTTGGGAATCCTTCTGAGAGCAGGTATTGGATCTTGACCATTTATGGGTTCCTGGCTATATTTTTCCTTTTTTGTTTTTTTGGTCCTAGGGATTGAACTCAGGGCCTTGTACATGCTAGGCCCATGCTCTACCACAAAGCTACACCTCCAACCTGCTTATCACCCCTCATATTCACAGGCAAGCTGTACTGTAGGCTCTGAATAATGAGGCACCAAAGTATCATGACCACATTCCTAGTATAGGGTGAGGGTTATTTTCCAAATGAGAGTAGAGTAATGCATATATTCAATGTGTCAGATTCAAACACCTAATTTGATTGTCTTTATTTTTATTTTTTAGTTGTAGATGAACACAATATCTTTATCTTTTTTATTTTTATGTGGTACTGAGGATTGAACCCAGTGCCTCACATGTACTAGGCAAGCACTCTACCACTGAGCCACAACCCCAGCCCTGATGGGTGTTTTTTATAAATTAAAAAACAATATATTTAGTAAAATGGGAGAATCTAACTTTTTGCTTTGTTTTTTGTTACTGGGGATTGAACCCAGGGGTGTTTTATCATTGAGCTACATCCGCTGACATTTTAAAATATTTTTTTAGTTGTAGATGGACAGAATACCTTTATTTTATTTTTTTTATTTTTACTTTGTGCCAGGGATTGAACCCAGGGCCTTGCACGTACTAGGCAAGTGCTCTGCCTCTGAGCCACAACACCGGCTCCTTGTATGTATTTTTTGAGATAGTGTCTTGCTAAGTTACTGAAGGTAGGCTTGAACATGCAATCTTCCTGTTCAGCCTCCTGAGTTGCTGGGGTTAGAGCCATATGCTACTGCGCCCAGTATCTGTTTTGATAAAACTCTTTAAGCAAGGAAGCCTAATTCACAATGCATCTTGGGTTTTTTTTATTGTTGTTGTTTTTGTTTTTTATTTGTTTTGGGAATACAATTGTACTACTGATGCTGATTTGGCTACTCCAGGGAAAAATCACTTGTAAATATAATAGAGAAAAACCAAGGATAACATGTACTATGAAGCAAATAGGCATGGCAATATCTACAACATGGAACCACAGACAAAATATTTTCTGCATTGTGAGGAATGGGGACCCACATGTGGATTATCTACTGACAATAACTGCCACCCAGTTTTTTTTTCTAGTACTGGGAATTGAACCTAATAAATTAAAAAATAAATTTTATGATAAATTAATAAATTAAAAATAAAGGCATTGTGTCCAACTACAACTAAAAAATAAATATTTTAAAAAAGAAAGCTAAAAATAATCAGGTTAAGTCTAAATATTTAAAAATATTTTTAAATGTCTAACACTAACAGGTTGAGCTATTTTGCCTAAATGATATACAAGTATAGCAACCAATCCTGATTTTCTCAAAAAATTTCCCTAACCCTACAAAATACTTTTTTTATTTGAGTATAATTACTTTATTGAACCAAGAATCATCATGCAAGTTACTGCCAATGAAAAGACAACAGCATAATTTACACCTATACACTTACAGTACAGTTTACTGTGATTACATATAAAGGAAGATCAGTGCATAAAAATGTGACTAGAAGGTCCACAATGTGAACAAGTAATAGCAGCCAAGAATTACAATGGGTCGTGAGCGGGGAATTGAAAAGGGGGATGTTAACATTTTGTTCCATATATCTACATTACTTCAAGCTTTCATATATAGTCACATATTACTTGCATTATTAAAAGACAAAATTTCAAGGACTGGGGTTGTAGTTCAGTCATAGAGCACCGCTAGCATATGTGGGGCAGTGTGTTAGATCCTTAGCACCACATAAAAATAAATAAATTAAACAAAGGTATTGTGCCCATCTACAATTAAACAAAATTTTTTTAAAAAAAAGACAAAATTCCAGTACTACAAAAAACAAGCCTGACATTGATTTGCAAATATGAAAATAGGTTAAATGAAAAAAAAAAAAGCTCTCCAGTTGTAGAAATGCATAGTTTTAGTTTGGGCTGCTACTACAACTCCAAAAAGCTCTGACCCCAAGGTTTTGGTGGGTGTAAAGCTTTGGGCAGAACCATAGTGTCTGTTGATAGGGAGGTGATGGAACCTCCCCTTTGAAACTATAAAGGCAGCTCTGAGGATACTTGATGCATTATTCCCTTGTCTTAAAAAATAAGGCACATTTACAACCAAACAGCTCTATGGTTCTGTCCTGTAAAATCCAAAAAGTCCAAAAAACACTCCTTCATTCCACCCTGTCTTTTTCCCCTTTCAGTTCTATCTGGCATTTTCCTGCATGAGTTGCTGACTAATACTATGATTCACACATACAATAATCTTCTTAGCAAATGGTAAGTCTACCACACCCTTGATGTTCTCTAATGAACTCACTTTCTTATTTTTTTTAATATGGATAGGCTGCAAATTTTCTAAATCTTTTAAGTTCTTATTCCTTTTTGCTTAATTCCATTTTCAATTCTTTTTTCTCTTTTCAAATATTCCTATAAACAGAAGAAAACAATTCACTTCCTTCAATACTTTGCTAAAAAATCTCTTCACCTCAATATCCAATTTTGCCAGGTACAATGGAGCTCACTTGTGATGTCAATAACTCAGTAGGAGAAACACAAGTTCAAATCCAGCCTTAGCAACATGGCAAGGCCCTAAGCAACTTAGTGAGACCCTCTCTCAAAATAAAAAATGAAAAGGGCTTGGGATATAGCTCAGTGGTAAAGCACCTTTGGGTTCAATTCCCAGTACCAATAAATAAATAAATATCTAATTTTATAATTGACAAGTTCTATTTTCTATAATAGATCACAAATAATTCAGCTAAACTATTTGCCACTTTGTAACAAAGATCAACTTTTTGCATTGTCCAAAAATACACTCCTCATTTATGTCCAAGACCATATCAGACCTTACTGTATCTTTACCAAAATCATGTACTTGATTATTTATGTATTCTTTAAGATAGAAGCTTTCTCTATAACTCCACTTTTCTGAACCTCTCCAAAATTATCTATAAGTCCACATTTCTACCCAAAGTCCCTCACAGCAACATCAATCTATCATGTACCTAAAAACTCTACAGCCTATATGCATTACCCAGTTCCAATGCCACTTCCACATGTCTTAGGTATTTGTTACAATAGCATGCTAATTCTCAGTACCAATTTCTATCTCAATTCAGGATAAAATTACAAATACCATACACTGGGCAGCTGAAACAAACATTAATCAACAAGGTATTGGCTAATTTGGTTCCTGATGGAGGCCCTCTTCCTGACTTGAAGATGGATCTCTTCTTGGAATATGCACACAGGTAGAAAGAGAGATCTCTTTCATGTTTCTTCTTATAAGGGCACTATTCCTATTAGAAGGGCTTACCTCCCAAAAGCTCCACTTTCAAGTTTCAACAAATTTGAGATTAGGGGGTTCAACATGTAAATTTGGGGGTGACAATCCACATAATGTATATGTAATGTGATCCCTTCTATGTAAATTAGAGATAACCTATATACATAGAAATATGCATATAAAATTTCTAGAAATATATAGCTAGTTTTTCCAGCAACAGCCACAGTATTTCCAAGTCACACATGCTCTTCCAGAACTTTTCTTTTTAAAAACTATGGAACACTTAGGGCTGGAATTGTAGCTCAGTGGTAGCACTTGCCTAGCATGTGAGAGGCACTGGGTTCAAACCTCAGCACCATATTAAAAAATAAATAAAATAAAATAAAATAAAAGTATTGTGTCCACGTACAACTAAAAATATTTTTAAAATATAGAAGCTGGGAGTAGTGGCGCACACCTATAATCCCAGTGACTCAGGAGACTGAGGCAGGAAGATCATAAAGTCAACCTCAGCAATTTAGCGAGGCCCTAATCAACTGAGTGATTAAAATAAAATCAAAAAGTGGGGGATGTAGCTCAGTGGTTAAGCACCACTGGGTTCAATCCCTAGTACCATAAATAAATAAATAAATAAATGAATAAATAAATAAATAAAAGAATACTTCACAAATCTGTGTGTCATCCTTGTGCAGAGACCATGCTAATGTTCTCTATATTTTTCCAGTTTTAGTTTACGTGCTGCCGAGGTGAATACTCTTCCAGAATCTTGCTATTCTCCATGAAGAGGTAGAATCTAGGGGCTGGAGTTGTAGCTCAGTGGTAAAGCACTTGTCTAGCATGTGTGAGGCACTGGGTTCAATTTTTAGCCCCACATATAAACAAAATAAATGTGATCATCAACTAAAAAAAAAAAAAAAAAAAGAGGTAGAATCTATTTGCCTTCCTCTTGAACATGGCCAGGCTAGTGATTGCTATAACCAATAGAGCAGAAGTGCTATATATGAGTTCTCAAGGTAGGTCATAAAAGCTGCTGCCTTGAATAAAATACACAGAGACATACCAACAAAAATACAGTTCTCTCCTACTAGACAAAGGCGCCATAAACTCAAATTGGAGAAAAGATAGACTCTTCAACTAATGGTGCTAGGAAAACTGCAAACCCATATGTAGTAAAATGAGACCCCTATCTCTCACCCTGCACAAAACTTAACTCTAAGTGGATCAAGGACCTAGGCATTAGACCAGAGACCCTGAACCTACTTGAAGCAAAAGTAGGCCCAAATCTTCATCATGTCGGGGCTGGGAATGTGGCTCAGGCGGTAGCGCGCTGTCTGGCATGCGTGCGGCCCGGGTTCGATCCTCAGCACCACATACCAACAAAGATGTTGTGTCCGCTGAGAACTAAAAAATAAATATTAAAAAAAATTCTCTCTCTCTCTCTCCTCTCACTCTCTCTAAAAAAAATCTTCATCATGTCAGCTCAGAAACTGAATTCCTAAATAAGAATCCTAAAAAGTAAAATCAAGAATTAATAAATGGGATTGTATCAAACTAAAAAGCTTCTTGACAGCAAAGGAAATAATCAAGAATATGAATACAGAGCCTACAGAATGGAAGAAAATCTTTGCCACCTGCACTTCAGATAGAGCATTAATCTCCAGGATATATAAAGAACTCAAAAAACTGAACACCAAAAAAACCAAATAGCCCAATCAATAAATGGAACTGGGGCTGGGGATGTGGCTCAAGTGGTAGCGTGCTTGCCTGGCATGCATGCAGCCCAGGTTCGATCATCAGCACTACATACAAAGATGTTGTGTCTGCCGAAAACTAAAAAATAAATAAATAAATAAATATTTAAAAATTCTCTTTCTTTAAAATAGATAAATAAATAAATGGAACTGAACAGACATTTCACAGAAGAAATATGAATGGTCTCAAATATATGAAAAAATGTTCAACATCACTAGCAATTACAGAAATGCAAATTAAAACTACACTGAGGGGCTGGAGTTGTGGCTCCGTAAAAAGTGCTCACCTAGCGTGGGTGAGGCACTAGTTCAATCCTCAGCATCACGTAAAAATAAATAAATAAAAATAAAGGCATTGTGTCCACCTACAACTAAAAAATAGAATATATTAAAAAAAGCTACACTGAGATTTCATCTCACTCCAATCAGAATGGCAATTTTCAAGAATATAAGTAACAATAAATTTTGGCAAAGATATGGGGGGGAAGGTACACTCATATGTTGCTGGTGAGACTGTAAATTGGCACAACCACTCTGGAAAGCAGTATGGAGATTCCTCAGAAAACTTGGATTGGAACCACCATTTGACCCAGTCACCCCACTCCTCAGCTTATACCCAAAGAACTTAAAATCAGCATACTGTAGTGATGCAGCCACATCAATATTCATAACAGCTCAATTCACAATAGACACACTAGGGTACCAACCTGGTGCCCTACAACAGATGAATGGATAAAGAAAATGTGGTGTGTATATACACAATGGAATATTACTTAGCCATAAGAATGAAACTATGGCATTTGCCAGTAAGTGGATGGAAATGGAGAATAGCATGCTAAGTGAAAGAAGACAATCCCAGAAAACTAAAGACCAAATGTTTTCTCTGATATGCAGATCCTGACTCACAATGGTGGGGGAGAGTGAAAGTTCACTGGATTGGACAGAGGAGAATGGGAGAAAGGGAAGAGGGATGGGAATGGGAAAGACAGTAGAATGAATTGGACATAATTTTCCTATGTTACATATATGAATACACTACTAGTGTAATTCCACATCCTGTATAACCACAAGAATGGGAAGTTATACGCCATGTATGTATGATATGTCAAAATGCATTCTACTGGGCTGGGGATGTGGCTCAAGCGGTAGCACGCTTGCCTGGCATGCGGGTTCAATCCTCAGCACCACATACAAACAAAGATGTTGTGTCTGCCGAAAACTAAAACAATAAATAAATATTAAAAAAATTATCTCTCTTTAAAAAAAATGCATTCTACTGTCATATGTATAGATATACATGTTTGTGTATAGATACACATGTATATCTATACACCTGACAGTAGAATGCATTTTGACATATATACATGGAATATATGTGTGTGTGTATGTATATATATATATATGTGTGTGTGTGTACATATATATATATATGTATATATATATATATATATATATAAAAAGCCGCTGCCTTTTTTTCCCCCCTTCTTCATCTTAACTCAGGATGGATGCCTGACCTTGGAACCGAGCCACCATACTGTGAGGAAGGTAAGCAGCCACACAGAAAGGCCATACATAGGTACTCTGGCTGACAGTACTAGTTAGGGTTTCAGCTACTCACCAGCCTCAAGTAGTAGGGAATGAGCAAGCCTTCAGATGCTTCCTGCCCTGACCCTGAGTTTTCCAGTCAAGAACAAAGACATTATACACAAACAAGTTGTGTGAATTCCATTTGCACAATTTTTAAGCTTAATAAATGGTTGTTTTATGTCCACTGTTGCTTTTTTAACTAAAACAAAAATTAATTACATGATTAAGTCTTCATAGCAACATGAAAAATTATCAGCATTATTATTAAATTGGGTGAAATAGAGATATACTGTAGTATCTAAAAACATACTTATTAAAAGGTCTGGGAAGATACAAATAAAATTCATCTAGGAAAGCAGAGAATATGCCAGAGTGAAAAAGTGTAGAGGGAGTAAAGTCTTATTTTTTAAAGAACATATCCATACATTAATTTGTTAAATAATTAAATAGCATCCAAAATTTTATTTACTTATTTATTTTGGTGATAATGATTAAACCCCAGGGTACTTAACCACTAAGCCACATCCTCAGCCCTTTTTGAGAGTATCCCTAAGTTGCTGAGGACCTCACTAAGTTGCTGAGGCTGACATTGAAATTATGATCTCCTGCCTCAGTCTCACAAGCCACTGAAATAATAGGCATTAACCACTATTAATAGCTGTACAAAATTTTAAAAACACACTTAACAAAAATACTGGATACAATGTGTGCTGGGTACAGAGGTCTCATGTGAAACTTCTAGCACACATATTCTTCTTCCAGGGAAGATCCAGTAAATCTTTTTTTTTTTCAATTTTTTTTTTTTTTTAGTTGTAGATGAACACAATACCTTTTTTTTATTTATTTTTTATTTGGTGCTCAGGATTGAACCCAGTGCCTCGTATGTGCTAGGCAAGCACTCTACCACTGAGCTCAGCCCCAGCCCCAAATCTTTTTTTTTTTCATTTTTGGTGCTGGGGATTGAACCCAGGGCCTTGTGCATGCAAGGCAAGCACTCTACCAACTGAGCTATATCCCCAGCCCTTGCCCAAAATCTTATGTGATTTATTTAAGTGTAGTAGACATCAGTTATACTTCACAGGGTCATTTGGCCTATAAGGAAGAATCTGAGCTTGGGTCTCTCAGATCAGATGCTTACAGTACATTAACACAGAGGCAAATTTCAGTAAATTAAAGATGCAGATTTATGCTATTTGGATTAAGCGCTGAAATGTAACTCAACAATTTAAAAGAAATAAAAAAAGGAGGGTTATGTACATTCCAAATTTTAGGTTTTAAAGAGAAGAGGAAAAATAATTCCAGTAATTCAAGTTCAAATGTCTACAACTGTTCTCTTTCTGGAACTTCTATCACTAATAGAAGAAATTATATACCAAGAGACAACTAGTTAAAGAGAAGAGCAGGAAAAAAAAGTAGGTAAAAAGGAAGACAGTAAACCAGAATAATTCTTCAAATGAATTTAATTGAAACAGAAATGAACTGTCTCTAGAATGTTTTCATGGTTGCAAAGAAATGGATGATTTTCTCTACCAAATGAATACTACATAAAGTAGCTACATGGATATACCTCTGACTTCTCTTTGTCCTTTTTTTCCCCCTAAAGGACACCAAACAACTTAAAAGAATGATTTATGATTAGACCACAGTTTGGTGCTGGCACTATTTTTCGTTACGTGGTAGTGTTCTATTAGTGTATCACTAAAACTCCAAATTCATCACTGGGTATTCTCCCCATTAAATAAAACAGAACAGCTGGTATTACAGTACATGCCCGTAATCCTAGCTCCTCGGGAGGCTGAGGAAGGAGTATGCAAGCTCGATGCCAACCTTGGCAATTTATAGACCCTGTCTCAAAAGAAAAAGAGCTGAGGATGTAGCTCAATGATAGAGCACCCTTGGGTTCAATACCACAAAAGAAAAAAAAATTATACATGACAAAGAGTCTGATTTTAATTAAAAGAATTCATTGTATATCTGCTCTTATTTACCTCTGAGTCCTTTTAGATAATATTGAACAAGCATTAAAACTCTGAAGTAATAGGCTAGGAAAGAAAAATGTCCATGATTTAACATATCCATTTAAAAAAATGTTTCTAAACATTCCTGTAACAAACATGTATCTGGAAAAATACAACTGCATTAAGACTAAACCAACACTTCTGTAATTCAATGAGAAAACTAAAATCAAAGTAAACCTTTGTCACAAGCACCCTAAAATGGGCTTTCTTTGTACTGCAGTCATGTCAGTCTTGAACTTAAAGCCCTGGTTCATTTACAACATGTAATCGGAAATAATCCTATCATAAAACACAGAGATGGTCATCTGCTCTACATTTCATATTGCAGATTGATAATAAAATGAATGAAAAACAAGTTTTATTCTTTGTACTAAACTTACCTAAGAACTGATCAGGCA